TCCAGGACATCACACCTGTTTGGTGAGCCAAGCTGATGTGCATAATTAATGGAAGGATGTGTGGAATGGTGCTGTTGTACCAAGACTCCATAATCAGGAACAGCCTCACATCAACATATGCAACTCTAATGGGGCACAGTAATGGACAACATCTGGTTTAGAATGGTAATGTGAACAGGGCCACAATGAGTGTGACTGGCCCAAGGTCACCCAGTGAGCTTCCATGGCAGAGTGGGGATTTGAACCTGGGTCTCCCAGATCCTAGGCAGTCTAATCATGACACCAGGCTGGCTGTCATCTTCTTGAGCGGGACAACTTCCTCCTGAACAAATCCGCTGCCTTCCACTCTGATGGGGATCTCAGCAAGGCTGCCTCCGCCAAAACTTTGATTTGTTTCCAAAAGGCAGTGCTATCTGGCCATCAGCAAAACAGGTTATATCAAATTTTCAAGCTGTGGCATGAAGTTCTTCATGGGCTGTTAGGAGAGCCGTCAAACTGGTACAGTTTTACGAGTTCCAATAGCACAAAGCTATCAAAATGCAGATGTCGATCTTAACAGGAATTACTCAAAATATTCAGCCCATTGTTCATCAGCTGCTGTGCATCGTTTGGAACTTATCCAACACTGCTGTATTGTTCACCAATCACTTTTTAAAAATCTTACTGCAATGTCTCACGCACTCACCTCTGTCAGTTTCTGCAGGTTCCTGCTTGCAATGATTGTCTGGCAGCCATGCCTGCAAAGAAAAACCGCACAAAATGAGGAACCCGCGGGACCCACATCACAGACACACAAACCTTCCACCCAAAGGGGAAATCCATTTGCTACTGAAGCTACAGAATATATTACAACAAACATGACCATGGTGTATAATAGCCAGTAAAACAGTAAATCACTGTGTACAATTAAACAATATTTGTTGGTTTTTATATGCAATGTTTAGAATTCAATTATTAACAAAATTACAACAATAACACTGCAATATGCGATACACGTCCATCAGGTTTGTCATTCTGTAATTATTTCTTCATTAGAATGAAGTGCTGCAAGCTGCAATGGAGTGTAACATGATTAATAACCAAAAACATAAAAATTAATATATAGAGGAGCATTTTATAAACACACCCATACTTCAAAATGTTAGTTCTTATACAATGATGTGCGCTACCGCGCTTAGATTCTAGAAAAAAGCAGACAAGCACAATATGTATTTCATAATTCTCAAATGATAACACATACAAAAAAATTCAAAATAAAGAACATTTTAAAATTTAACAACCTGGTGACTGGGGAGCTCCTATACCAAGCTCTAGTGTGACTGCGTCTACAGCATATAATAATTGGCTAAGCTTTCCTCAATGTGGCACAATGTTTCAATGGAAAATTTGTAGGCTGCAACAGGTGTTATGTTTTAAGATGGCATGTTCTATCTTAAAGGTCAGGGTACCTTTAAGAGAGAACGTTTATAAAATGTAAAATGCTCCTCTATATATTAGAGTAATTTTTATGTTTTTGGTTATTAAGCATGTTACACTCCATTGCAGCTTGCAGCACTTCATTCTAATGAAGAAATAATTACTGAATGACAAACCTGATGAAGGACATGCAAACAGATATTGTACTAGAACTCCGTCGTTTGTCTGTAACTAGTACTGTATTACTTTGTATGTACTGCTAAGCTTTATATCGCATATTGTAGTGTTGTTGTAATTTTGTTAATTGAATTCTAAACATTGCATATAAAAACCAACAAATACTGTTTAATTGTACACAGTGATTTACTGTTTTACTGACTGAAGCTACAGAAGCTGTCTTTGTCTCACATCTAGAATCTGCCACTTGGAAAAGAAGAAAATTGCTCAAGCACAATTATCCAAAAACAGCAATTGCAATTTTTTCTTCTAGCATATGTGTTTCTGGACTAGAACTCGCTTCATCATATGCTGACCAAGGAGCCCCTACTCCACCAAAGCATACACTAGAAGAAAGATGGTATTTATTCTTTAAGCTCCCATGAGACTCCAGTTCATTTTCCCTGCCACGGACAGTCTATCACAGGTACCTCTCTGGAACTGTCAGGACCCACAGCCAAACAATGGAGCACACATTTCCAAGAAAGGTTTTGCTTTATTGTCAGTACTATGGTTGCAATAACATGGTCACTGTTAGGAATGGCAAGCATGGAACAAGCAGATAGTAATATAGAAGATTCAAGAGGTCCCCCCCCACACCTGTGGGCCAATCGGCCCGTTTCCCGCAGGCGGGAAA